CCAAACCTGAAGACGTTGAATAATATCACTACGACCACTACTACTAATGATAATATACATCTACAAAAGATTAACTTAAATAATAGTTTTCAGTTGATTTAGCCAAATGTGTCTCAATAGCAGCATCCTGAGGCTAACACAGATCTCGCATCTCAGATGAGTTCTGATGAGATTCTGGGAATCCGCTTTGATTGTTCACTGAAACCTACTAGATTTATTCTGTCCATTACTTTACAATGAACGGAGGAAGGAAATGTGTGTTTTCAGTAACAGTTCAACTGTGAATTTGCTCTTTCTCAGTGTAACGTTTGCCCTGTTAACCTTTATGCCCTATCACATGGACAGCCATTTCAACACACTGTTCACAACAATACTATTTTAATCCATCGTGTACCGTTCCAAAGCTTATGTTTCATTTTCCAAAATGTTTAAGCATAATCATCATACATCTCTTACTCGTCAGCATATTTAGATGTTATAGATCCAGCTGGTTTGGTTGTGTGTGTTTGTAGGATTTCAACAGTTTTTAACATTGTTCTGCCATCTGAGAGTAAGTGCAGTTCATGCTAACTAATGTAGTTAACTAATGTTTACTAGTGAACCTTATTGTAAAGTGTCATCATAATCACTGGCAGAAATGATGACTTCAGTATTGATTGGAATAAGCGGTGAAGTGGGATGTTTCTGTGAAGCTTAGTGATCTAGTGCAGTGATATAGTGCACACTATGAATGTGGAAAGTCCCATACAGAGACAAATGACAGGCTCATTCACACATCACCCACAACCGGCACACACAGATCTCGAAGAGGAAAAAGGCTTTCTGAATTATCATCCTGCATACTTGTGACCAAAAGAAAAACAAAGCAAAACTTGTGTTTCCCTGAGGGGTGTGTGTGCGTCTGCTCGTGTGCAGAGGTCGGATGCACTGCACAGTTTTGCCTAATATTGAAATATGAAAAACAACACTCTCTGAAAACACACATACCTCTATAAACCCTTTGAATCAGGTGGTCAGGAATGCAAATGATGTGTTCAGAGTGTACGTGACAGTTATTCATGAGTTCGAGAAATGTTGCAAATGTGTCTAACCATCCACAACTTGTATCTGCATATTTCACAATGAGTGTGCAATGACTTGCACAAACGGATCCATGTTTGTTAACACAAATTATTGATTTAGTCTTGGTGTATCATAATTTGTGCATGCAACAAGTAAGATGTGCATTAGTGGATCAGGTGACGTGTGCATTCAGTGACGTCTTTTCTAAATTTCATCCTGTTTGATTCATTTTTGCCATTTCAAACCCACACACAAACGGCTATGAATGCATAAGCCCCAGTCCTCTGCCCAATCCTCTACACATCTCCCTGAAACATCCAGTCTGCAGTGCTACACACACACTAATCTGACCAACTGTGTCTGCACAATTCAGCTCTACACAAATGTGCTGCATTTTGACAAAAACAGGCATATTTGTGAATTCAAACTAATACTTTATAAATGATTTACGTTGTTTTGGTGGCCATATTACAGAAATACTTTAACTCTAGATCTGTCTCATCTGTTCAGCACCATGGCAAATTCAGTTCATATTTATTCATATTTGATCAAACTTGCATCATAATGTAAGACACAGAACAGATGGTTGCTGTTTGCCAAACAAATCTTTGACAAAAGTGTTCTCTAAGCCAGAGCTATTTTACCAGTACTTCATTCGTTTGGGCTTCTTTATGTGTCTGTAAGTATTAGTGGTTCAGCTGAAACTCAGGATTTTACACAAATGATGATAATTTATTATTTTCGAAATGTGTGATGATGTGTCTTTACTCTAAAAAAAAAAGCTGGGTTGTTTCAACCCAAATTTGGGTCAAATATGGACAAACCCCACCGTTGGATTAAACATTTTATTTAAAAAAAAAATAACCCAACGGTTAGGTTTATCCATATTTGACCCAAATCTGGGTTGAAACAACTCAGCATTTTTTTAGAGTGTTTAATCTAGATTTTACGGAGACCCTAAAGGGACATGGTAGTAGAAAAAAACTTGGATTGGAGAATTATAGTTATTGTTTAGTTTATTTAATTGATTTGACAGGGGCCATGCACAGTTAGCTAGCTCGTGTGGATCTGTGGTCCCTGGCCAGGATGATGTTACACACAATTACAGCACTCCATTACAATCCAGAAAACATAAGAAAATAATAATAATATCACATCACAATATAACTAATTACAATATCGCAATATCAAATCGCACAAATTAATGATCACGTATTTGATTTTTCTTAAGCCATAATTTTAGTGCCGTTTTAAAACTATTAAATGATGTGCACTTTCTAATATGAACAGGCACTGAACTCCATCTTTCCGCTGCTCTAAATGCCAAAGCTGTTTTCTTAAAGAACAGTCGCCTCTAACGGATGCCCTGGTCCTCTCAGAGAGTCACACATTGTTTAAGAGGTGGAGGCGCACGATCATGGATTCATTTATACATCAAACACATATCTGCAAAAAATAAAAAAAAACTGTCAACAATTTATAATTTTTGATAATAATGCAATGATGAAAGCTCCTTGTTTTTTTTATGTAGAATTTTCACAGCTTGTTTATAAAGAGTATATAATGGTTTTAATGTTGTTACACTTGCTTGAGTCCAGCTTGTAGCACAATAGGATAAATGTGAAAGAATCTATGTGTGCATTAAGAGTTTAGCTGGTGCCTAATACAAACATGATGCCTTGCACCTCTAGAAACCTTTTTTATGTTTCTTAAAATTTAAGTTTGCATCTATAATCAAACCCATGTATTTAAAATGCTCAACAATATTTATTGCTTCTCCTTTAAATAAAATGTCTGGTTGATACTCAATGACACCATTGTTCTTTTAACAGAAAAATACATTCCCACAGTTGTATTTATATTAATAGTAAGACAAGAGTGAGTTAACCAGTCTAAGGAGTAAGTTTGATAGCAGCTTGTTCTTTTGCTTTAGCATAGATAACTGTGTCATCTGCGTACATCTGGACCTCTGGACATACCATAGGTAGATCTTTAATATATAAACTAAATAAAAGTTGGTCCAAGAATCGATCCCTGTGGGACTCCAATAGAGCAATCAAGAAAGGATGAGCATAAATCCTTCATTTTGGTACATTTTTTCCTTAGATTTAGATATGATTGCATCCATGTTATTGTATTAATAGAAAAGTTTTACTTTTTAGACAATTTAGATAAAAGTACATTATGATTGACAGTATCAAAAGCCTTCTTAAAATCAAGCAAGACATCACCAATAACCCCTCCTCTATCAAGTTTGGATTTAATTTGTTCAATAAAGTAATAGTTTGCTGTTTCTGTAGAATGATGAGCCCTAAATCTAATCTGCACAGTGTAATGCAAGCACTACTTTAATAGCAATAACAGGTAATCCAGGGCAAACAAAGAACAAAGGACAGGAGCATTGTACAACAAACAACGCCTGACAAACCACAAGAGAAACACAAGGGCAATTTATACACAGGCTAACAAGGCAACAAGGGGGTGTGGTTGATTGGCATGGGAACACACGAGGGTAACCAAGGGAACTAACAAGACACACCTGGACTAATCGACATGAAAAACTACAAAACGTGGCAGAAGACAGGAAATAACACAAGTCCTCACATAAGACAGGAACACAGGCTGAGATCGTGACACAATAAAAAAATAATTAAATACACTAGCAATTTAATGCTTATCTTGAATTAAATGTCCCTGAACTTGTAATTCAATTTCTTTATCTCCTTTGTGACCATTTTTCTTTCGTACTCTCATGGGTATAGATGTTCCCACAGCGTCAATTGACCATAACCCTTGAAAGGGAACGCCTCGGTTACGACTGTAAGCTAGGATCCCTGAGGCGGGAACGAGACGCTGTGTCGCCCTGACATACCTCCTGCATGCCTGTTAGCGACTTGCTTTAGCCTATTAGAAGGTAGCGTTACACTGTTTGGGAAGGCTTTCCTGGTTGGTGACATCACCCGCCTCTGACGGCGCGTCACACCATTGGACTGATTTCACTCGTGCTTCACGACGCAATCACGCAGAGCATTCCCACAGCATCAATCGACGCAGTGTCTCATTCCCTCTTCAGGGAACCGAGGTTACAGTCGTAATCAAGGCGTTTTCTATCACTCATGTCAAGTCAATGATTACATGTTAACTCTCATGATTGTAGTTTATGAATGGCAGGTTACTGCCCTAGAGTTAACTTCACCTCAGCGGGATCCATCAAAAACAAATGTTTTTTTCATTTTGGTTCGTTCTGAGTTCCTGAGGTTACTGGTTAGAAGGAAATTAAAGAATGTTATTTTATAATGACACTACATTCTAGTTGAAAAGCTCCTTGAAGAGGAGAGATTAATGATTGAAGGGGATGATTTATGTCAAAGAGGTGTGACTCGAGAGCCGTAGGTTCCTGACTGCTGCTTTATATGATATAGGAACATTAAAGGCTCTGGTGAAGCTAGCTGGAAACAGCCATGACCATGTAAACCACAGGACAAGGTTCTTAAATTGAAAAGAATTGTGCCACACACCAGTAATTATAACTAAACTGAAAGACATGGAATGAAAGTCCAAATAGGATGGATTCAGAAAAGCCTTCAGTGAACACACGCATGTTACCTGATGCATACATTCACATCTTATTGCATGCAGAAATTATAAAACATTAACACTAAAGAAAACGTTTTGCATAGCTCCATTTGTACAAATCTATTCACATTGATTTAATTCTGAATTTCGCAGACAAACGTTGAGCGAATTTTGGTTGTGGACAGTAGGATACATTTGCAACATTAGTGAAGTTCATGGATAACTGTGTACATGTATTTGTTAATAATTTTGAGACTAACTTCATCCCATAGTTTTCCTTCTAATGTTAGACTAGAGGAATGTTTATTGTATCTAACTTGAGCCGTCTGCTGTGTTTCAGAACTGGACAACTCTCGTGTGGAAGTAACAATGTCAGAAGACTATTTCTGGGATTTTTTAAATAAGCGCATTTTGATCAGGTATTTTAGTGTTTACTGGATGCTGTTTTGGACTATTGGATGCTGAGAGTTGTCTAACAACGTGTGCCATCCCCAAACTACAGTGCCATGCCAAGCAGAACTCAATAAAAGATTGCAGATAAATGAGATGAAAAGATGAGTGGCGACACATTCACTTGCAATACTGAGAACCAAACAATACCAATACGAGATTATCAGCATCAAATTTATGCAGTCTTCTACACAGTGATTCTTGTTCCTGGACTGATCGGCAATGTTCTTGCTCTCTGGGTGTTTTATGCCTACATAAAGGAGACGAAGAAGGCTGTGATATTCATGATCAACCTGGCCGTCGCTGATCTGCTGCAAGTGTTATCTCTACCTCTGCGCGTTTACTACTATTTGAACAATTCATGGCCTTTTGGCAAGTTTGCTTGCATGGTCTGTTTCTATGTGAAGTACGTCAACATGTATGCCAGCATCTTCTTCCTGGCCTGCATCAGTTTGAGACGCTGCCGACTCATCATCCAGCCGCTGCGATACAGCGGCACGAAGAGACACCGGGACCGCAGCTGGTGTTTATTCGGCTGGCTCGTGGTGGGTTTGGGGTGTCTGCCGTTCCCTCTTCTACGAAGAGACTATGAGAATGTGTATTGCTGCTTCTCTGAGCTACCCATGATGCAACTCAGCAAAGAACTAGGAGTGTCCCTCGTGACCGTGGCAGAACTCACGGGGTTCCTTCTCCCGCTGGCTGTCGTGATCACCTGCACGTGCCTGACCGCCGCGAGTCTGCGAGAGAAAACCTGCGTGCTGCAGGACACTGGGGAAAAGCACAAGGCGTTCAAGATGGTGTTGAGTTGTGCTGGTGTGTTCCTGGTCTGCTTTGTGCCCTATCACATAACTTTCCCGTTGGACTTTCTGGCCAAATCCAACGGTAGCGTTAGTTCTGCCTTTAAGGTCGCAGTCCTCCATGTTCATCCGGTCACCTTGTGTTTAGCGAGTCTGAACTGCTGTCTGGACCCAGTGATGTACTACTTCACCACCGATGAGTTCAAGCGCCGTCTGTCCAGGCCGGAGTTACAAGAAAGCCTGCAGTTACACCTCAGAGGTTCTTGCTCCACAAACCGTGATGTCTGAGCTCTCCACCAGAGACGGCACAGGGACATCGCTCTTAAATCAAAAACAACAACTTTCTGAATGTACAATTGATGAACTCTTAACAATCTTGTTGAAAAATGTGAACAATTCGAACTACAGAATCTTTATGAAACTCAGCTGTGATTTTTATTGACATGAGCCATGAAAATTTCACAAATAAATCTTGTTCTGCTCTTGAAGTTGCAGTAAAACTGTAATGATCAGATACTTTGTTGTCTCTTTGTTGTTGTATTGTTGCTTTTGCACTATGTTCCCTTGTACTATTGCGAAATGAGAATTTTTCTTGTATTACATTTTGGGGGTGGGCGCTTATAAGCTCCTTTGCTTCGGCTCACTCCTTTTGAGCAGAATGGTTACTGCTCAAATAAATAAATAAATATATTTGAATATATTTTAAAATGTGTTCTATTCCTATGATGACAAGCTGATTTGGTGTAAATCATATTTTTGTAGAAACTGATAAAAACATTTCAGGATTCTTTGATAAGTAGAACGTTTAAAATAACATAATTTATTTGAAATGCATTATGTGTGGGCGTGTGTAACAATGTAAAAGTCTTTACTATTACATTTGATCCCTTTAATGCATTCTTGCGGAATAAAAATATAACTTTCAAATATTTTTACTGAGAATCTGGTTAAAAAACTGTTGTAAATAAACAATCAAGTTGATGATAAAAAAACACACATTTCATAACTTGTTTGTATATGCAAGCTTTTTTCCGCCACAGAATGAAAAATAAAAAAGGTAATTGCGACTTTTTATCTCACAATTCTGACTTTTTTTCTCACAATTGCGAGATATAAAGTCAGAATTGTGTGATATAAAATCGCAATTGCAGGTTATAAAGTCAGAATTGCGTGATATAAAGTCGCAATTGCGTGTTGTAAAGTCAGAATTGCGTGATATAAAGTCGCAATTGCAGGTTATAAAGTCAGAATTGCGTGATATAAAGTCGCAATTGCGTGTTGTAAAGTCAGAATTGCGAGATATAAAGTCAGAATTGATTGATATAAAGTCGAAATTGCGTGTTGTAAAGTCAGAATTGTGAGATATAAACTATTCTGAGGGGAAAAAAGTTAGTCTTTTTTCCCCCTTAGAATTGGCCTGATAACTCGCAATGAGAAAAGATGTCAGAATTTTGAGATATAAACTCGCAATTATGTGTTATATAGTCAGAATTGCGAGATGTAAACTCGCAATTGTGAGAAAAAAAGTCAGAATTCTGTCTTTTTTTCTGTCGCAATTGCGACTTTATTTCTCAGAATTGCGACTTTATTTCTCACAATTCTGACTTCATATCTCGCAATTGTGAGATAAAAAGTCGCAATTTTTTATATATTTTTTTTTATTCAGTGGCGTAAACAAGCTTCCATATTTGTATACTAGGGTAGGCAATAATACATACAATAGGTCCTGCACTACCTATCAAGTCAATCCCTGAATATTTCTTTTTAAATCAAATCAAATCAAATCATTTAAACTAAACAGATCATATTAATTCAAATTAATTTAGAATATAGACAAACATTATATTGCTGTAATTGTCTAGATTGGCAATATGTTTAATCTGCCCTATATTAAACCATTCCTTTTTTTCCTTCTTTTTTTTTTTTGTTAAAAGAAAATTAATCTATCAATTTACCAATTCAAGGGACATCAAAAAACAACAAAACCTGCAATACTATAAACGTCACAATCACTGCTGGGTCATTATAGTTGGATGAAATAACTTGTGATGTTTCTCTGTCTCAGATCAGCAGTTTAAATCAGTGCTGTCTGTCACTACACTGTAAAAAACTGTTTTCATGATTTATCACAACTTTTCTCTTTTTTTTGTCACATCAGCTTATGTTCACAAACTGAACAGACAATCACAATATTTCGAGGTGCTGAGTAGAAAAAGGGCCTCGTGATGCCCCTGTACTGGCAACATGTGAGAAGTGCGTACCGGCCCACTTCGGGCACTCCTTGTGTGAGTTTCTCTGTGCTGAGTTTAAACACTTTCTATGTACACAAAATACAAAAAGTTTATAGACTAAAGATGTATTGCTCCTGTCTGCCTGCTGCTGAGTGGTTTGCGTCTGTTAGCTGCGTATTGCTTTCTGTTTTGAATCTTTATTTACTATCATTTTTTGTTGTTTATATTGCTAATTATATCTTATTCATCACCACACATTAATCTGACATCGCTAGCTTCTATCTAAATAGTTATAACTAGCACAACACGCTAGTAATTTCGCTAGCCTGCACAACACGCTAGTAACTAGCCTGTTAACGTGCTATCTGTGCCTGTCGTCTTTATTTATTTTTTCTCTAGCCATCATCCGTGCCTACAGTCTTTATTTATTATCGTGCCTTTAACAATCCATCAAATAACTGTGGTAAGTATAAGATCAGTCAACAAACACGCTAGGGGTGTAACGGTTCACATAATTCACGGTTCGGTTCGATACGAGACAGTGGCGACACGGTTCGGTATGTTTTCGATACAGCAATAAGAAAGAAATGCCAGAGAAGTTTCCTTGATTTTTAAATTGTTATGTATTTATTAAAACTAACATCATAACGTATGATCTTTTAGGAATCCCTAACTTGGTTTTATGGAATCAACCTTTTTTTTTTTTTTTTTTTTTTATGTTATTATTCCTGTTGTTGTTGTATTTTTGTATCACTTTTTCTGTTGGGATTTGTTGTTTTAACCAAGAACTTGCTTGATTTCGTCTTTTTGTTTTTACTTCTTTTGGTGCTGTGTTCTTTCAATTTTCAAAAATTTCAACCAGTGTTTCAACATGGCTTCTGCTGTTTCGGGTGTCCAGTCTATTTTGTCTTCAAGCGTTCTGAACTGACTTGATGGTAGTATTGGGATGTGCTGGGTTTTTCTGTCAGGATGTTATTGAGGAAGTCAATGTTCTCCTGAATCCTTGTGGGTAGACCTCTATTATAATTGATTAATTGAAAATAAACATTGGCCGACGGGAATGTGGTTTTGATTGCCCCCTGCAGTCTCTCGATGGTTTTTGCCAGTATCGTGGGATTGCCCTGTTCTCTGTCGTTGAGGCCAAAGTTCATTAGAATCAATTGGGTATCCGGATTGGATAATGTAGTAAGCATGCGCCAGCTTAGCTCCCGGGTAACAAACAGTTTGAATTTGGTCAATGTTGATCCGGGGAAAACGGGAAAGGTTTGAGTCCCCCAATAAGAGGATGGGTCTCTTGGGTATTAGGGACCAGTTAGCGTATTTATCTTGTTTACAGACATGTCGCTCAAAGATGCCATATGACTGGGATTCCGACCTAGTCTGGGGTTTGGGACAATGTGGTTCTAAAATCGCTGTTGAGCCACTCCGAGTCTGGGCCTCTTCTATGCTGGTCTGTACTGTTGTAGTGGTTGTTTTTTCTTTTAAGTTAGTGGTCGATGTGTTAGCGGATTCTTCGGTGGGGTAGAATACCTCCTCCTCTTCTACATCTCCTGTGGCTACCGCATTGGGCTTTATATTTTCTTCCACCGGTTTCCTTTTCTTCGGGGCGGGGTCTTCCCTAATTTCTGTTATTTCATCCGCCAATTTCCGACGGGTACCCCCCTCGTTGATAGATTTGGGTGCAGTGGTGTCGGATGTAGTGGCTTCGGTCGGGTTTATGGGGTTTATGAAGTTTCGGACCGCTTGGGAAGCCTGTTGTATGGTGCTGTCCCTTAAAGTTTTCAGGTTTTTTCTCCCCCATTTAATTGCGACATTCCAAGCCTCTTCCCATCTGCTCATTGTAGTGTGGGTGATTTTGTCCTGGGCAAGAACCAGACACTCAGAGTAGTGTTTCTTAAGGATCTCCATCCCTATCTGGAGCCAGTTCTGGGCGTTACCATAAATCAAATCTTCTGTGCCCTGATTCATGCTCAGAAGCGCTGGTTTGATGGCCGCGTTTAGCCCATTTGTGATGTACTGGAGACGACGAGGTCTAACGTCGTTAGCTTCGCCTTCCCTCAGGGTCTTTTCATGTGGGTGATTTTGTCCTGGGCAAGAACCAGACACTCAGAGTAGTGTTTCTTAAGGATCTCCATCCCTATCTGGAGCCAGTTCTGGGCGTTACCATAAATCAAATCTTCTGTGCCCTGATTCATGCTCAGAAGCGCTGGTTTGATGGCCGCGTTTAGCCCATTTGTGATGTACTGGAGACGACGAGGTCTAACGTCGTTAGCTTCGCCTTCCCTCAGGGTCTTTTCATGGTGGAAGGCCCTGAGGTATGCGTAGAAATCCCTCACTAATCTCTTGAAATTCTCATCCGAAGTCATAATGCCGATTTGGTATGTCCTAAGGGCGAGATATATAATGATTAGTGACGAATTCGTTATCTAAGGTTATTATTTTAGGGTTAGGTTTTTTTTTTTAGTCTTTACAGGATATGCTTTTATGGACCAGAAAGTGTTAGACCTGTCTGGGCCACCCACTTTCCTGCCTGTCTGGGCATTTGGTCCATTCCCTCAGCCCGGTCTCCTCCTCCCCCAAAGGTCCAAGGGGAAGAGAGACCCGAGGGAAGAGAGACCCGGCAAGGGAGACATACCATGCAAACAAAGAATGAGGCGGTGTGATATATGTTTTGTGAACCGAAAGCCCCTGATTTGGAGGGGACTTGGTGGGTGTTTTATACTAGGTGATTTCTATTTCGGGGTTCTAATTTGTAAATCTTTTGAGTTCCTGTCGTTCATTTAGTCCTTTTGGGAATTTGGTGTCTAACTTTTTGATCCACTGCCATTCCGCTTTCCTCCTTTGTTGTTCCGACCATTGGGGGTTATGTTCTATACCCTGTATTCGTACATTTGATACCCCTTGTCTCAGGAAGTGTTTAATTAAAGTTTGGTTCCTGTTGTTTTTGAGGGATTTGCGGATATTGTATTTATGTTGGTATAGTCTACTACTAATTGAGTTTTTTGTTTGCCCCACATATTGTAGTTTACACCTGTTGCAAGTTATTAGGTATACGCAGTTAGTGTTCTTGAGGGGTATTTTGGGTATGGAGAACGCTTTGACCTGCCCCGTTTGTCTTATTATCCCGTGTCTGTGGATTAAACGTGTGGGAGCTC